TTTTTTTGATTCATATTACTGGTAATAACGCCAAAAAGTACATTTATGTGTTCGAAGTATAATATATAGCATAATTTGCTTTCCCCAAATTTACAAAATCGGTACAGAACACATATTTTCACTCTTAAAAATGTTAAAATTTATTCCTAAAATTTATATTTTTTTCATTAAAGTAGCCAACTACACCGGTATATTAAACAAATTGTCGAGATTCTTTAGTTTTATTAGAAAATAAAATTTTAATAGAGATTCCTGCTACAAAATTTTTTTTTCTTCTATAATGCAATCGTGTACACTAGAAATTTTAAAAATATGTGGATTTTAGTTTTTGCAAAATCATAAGTTTTAATTTTGTTTTGACATATACAAATAAGCTCTTTGTTTCTTACTAATATTTCAAAGGAAGGGTCCTTACAATAATTAGAAAGTACATTTATACTATTCTTATTGATTGTAACCAGATTTTTTTTAAAATTTATATTATCTGCCCTTTTGTGTTTGTAAAGAATTAAAATTGTTATTTTATATGAAGGATTGATAATAGCTAGTCCTATTATTATTTAGAATTTATTAATATTAAAATATTAAAAAGAGAATTTCAATAACACATTGTGGTTTTTAAAATTACCACAAATAAGAGAAATAGCTTGGCATCAGGCCAATCAGTAGCGTTAGCAAGCAACATTTCTACGGATACCCAGTTAAGAACTGTTGCCTCGCTTTTCTCCATAAATCCCACCAAAAAGTCCTTCCTTGCTGCCTATAAAAAGGTTCCCATTCGAGCCCTTAAGGTTTTAAATGCAGGAGCAAAGGCACAAAGATACTACGCATTCGGAGAAAGCCCAACGAATGGACTACCCCAGCAGGAACAACCAGGGAGTCAGAGCCTACCGTTGATAAATAAACATTCATCATTGAATAGTCTTTCTTTTTGCCTTTATGTTTTATTTGCACGCCGCACCAATCTATCACCATTGGTGTACGGCACACATATACAGAAAAAAATTTAAATAAGTCAAAGAAACAACAGAATTGAAAAAATTTGTTTGGTAATTCAAGAGAGAGTATTGATTTAGTCATTACAAATTTTATTGGCAAAATTTTGTTTTTTTATAGTTTTTCGTATCTTTAGTAGAGTTATGATATCTAAATTATTTTTTTTTCACCATATTTTACTTCTTTTTAATTTTTTTTGTTTCGTAGAATAGGCATTTTATTTTCTGTGTACTACCGTAAATGGCATAACACGATAACCATATATATTGCAGGTAATAAAAAACAAGAAGAAATCTGTATAAAAATTTCTAACAATATTGTATTTTTTGTGTTACTGGCTTAATATCCATCGCAACCTCCAAAATAGTATACAAAATTTGCTTGGTTAGATTACTGTGATAAACTCGTTATCTTCCCGATATATTAAAACTATTTAACAATTTAATTTAATCAAAAGACATGAAAAACATGTTATACATGTTTTGAAAAAGCTGTCTAAACCTTATCATAACCGCTTACGACCAATTTATATATTATTAAAAAACGCCAAAAAACTAAAACTTACACATTAATCTGATCCTGATATTATACACAAATAAACCATTAAAACCGATACAAATATATAAATAATAAATAATGCCAATTACATTCAACTATTTGAAAAAATCAAAAAAATTTAAATCTGCCAAAACAAAAAATAAAAAACAATCAATCATAAAAATTTTCTAATGTAGCATCGTAATCAATTGATATTTTAAATCAACAATCATTTTGTCACTGGTTCATAAATTTTTAAACTTTATTTGAAGATATAGATAATTTCAGTATGAAACAGCTATTTTTTTTATTTTATGATAAACTGATAATTCTAATACTAAATTTTTTTAGTTGGATTTTTCAATTTTGATGGTAAATACTTATTCAAAAAGGAAATATTTTGTTTAGATCTATAATCATTTATTTTAATATTGCATAGCGCAAATATACATATTTTTTCAAATTAGTTGCTTATGATATTGGTATTTTTATGCTTGGAACCTTTTAATGTTGCTAAGCTTAGATATTATGCATGACTTTTGTTGCGAATCAATTGATGACAAGTAAAGACAAGTTACATATAATTTCGACATTTATGCTAAAAAAAAAACACATATGAAAAAATTAATATGAATCGAGATTGTATATATGGTTTAAAATAAGAAAAAAAGATTAATTTTTTTTCTAATAGATTATTTTATATAAAAACATATCGAACATTCACAAATAATAGCCCTTAAAAATACGGGTCTTGATCTGTAATACTCTAATTGCACATTCTTTATATTATGATTAATGAAACAAAGATTACTAAAGAAAAGTCTTAAAAAACACGTCAAATGATACTAAAACAAAATTTTACTTTTAAAATTACAGAATAGAATAATATATATCGTTAATTGCAATAGTTGATCTCTTAAAATTATCGTTATTATCATGATTTTTCACGCTACGGTTTTTTTAATCTATAATAACATAAAAAATCATTTTAATCATGACTATTCAACATCTAAAATGATTTATAAACCAATTTTTTGTTTTGATCACCATTTTTATTGATTTACAATATTTATTCTGGCATTTCATAGGATATATTTGGGACTGCTTAAGAATAATTAAAATAAACAATTATTTCATAAAAATAAAGTTTTTGTTTAGATAAGTACCTTCTCGTTTATTGAAAAATATTGATATAATTCATATTGGTGGTATTGGGATTCAATATTCCTGTTGGTTGTTGCCTAAAGGGATGGTATCATTCTTTTTTGGGATTTTTGAAACTGAACCAATAGATTCTTTATTAATTTCTAGAAAAGAATCATTATTTAAAGCCGAAAATGTGGTAGCTACTAAAATCTTGAATAATAGATTCTTAACTTACAATGACTATCGTAAATAAATATATTATCATCAAATTAGTAAATTAATTAATAATCTCAATCATATCGATTTAGTTAAATTGATCATAAACTCTAAAAAAAACTTAAATACAGTAAAATTACATTTAATCAATAACAAACCTTTGTGTTCTGCATTGAAAAAAATTTTAATTCATAATTCCAGAATACTAAAATCATCATGCGTTTATTATATTTATTTTCTTTATAATTATATTCACAGCTAAGTAATCTAATATCAATATTATTATAAATATTACTACTATTATGCTTATTAGACATTTTACACTATTTATTTTTCTAAATTTACTTATATCTTACCCAATTGAATGCTTATATATTTGAGTTTGCTTAGTATAAATTTATTAAATTTTAATATATAAATTAATCGTTCTATCAATAAAAGAACTAATTGATTAACAAACACAGCGTATTTGATATACAATACATTTATCTTTCTATTTATTATATCATATTCATTTAATTGTGTTGACCTATATATTTTGTGGTCTCCTTAAACGGTTATAAAATATTGAAACCAATCTGTGCTAATTAATGAACATGCAATAAAAAAATTTAAATAATATTATCAAATAATTGGATGCTATGAAATAAAATAATTAAAAATAGTAACTACAAATATTTTGCTGGATGTAAATATAAAAAATGGATTGATATTTTATTACTGAAAAATGATGATTCTTAACAAAAAATAGAATTTAAATGTGTAATCAGTTCTAGATTGGATGACTAAAGAATAAAATTTTAAATTTTCAAATTTTATCTTAACAGCATGCACAATTTTTTAAATAAAAACAATCATTTTAATTTTAAAAATGTTTCAAACTGAGTTTAAAAATTTTTCTTGATCAAAAAATGTATAACCAATTTTTTTCGTTATGATGAAATAATAAATACTGAAAAAGGCATAATTGAATACATGAAAAGCACAAATATTGTTTTAGATGTAATTTCAGACTACGTGAAATTCGAACAAATTAAAAAATCCTAATTACATAAAAAAATCTTTAGATGTATCTAACAGATAATTAGAAAGCAAATTATTATTTAGAAAATTTAATTTCAAAATAAGTTACAAATTGATTGTATATGATGTACAAACAAAAACCGACTAAACATATTAATTTGATAGATCTGAAAAAATAATTATATGAAATAAAAAGATAATTTTTCTAAAATTATTTCACGTTTAAATCAATTTATTCACCTAAAATATTCCGAATTTTGTGGTGCGAATTCTTGCCTAATTGATATTTGCTTCCTGAAAATTGGAAATGAAACGTTATCCTTGGCAAACTGAGCCACATTCATCCTTTTAACCTCTTCATTATTTATCTCTTTAACTTCAATCACATCCAAGCAGTTTTTTTGAGCTCTGTGTTTAGAAGCCATATCGTTTACTAGCATATCAACGGCCTCACCTTTACTCAGAGCACGAAATTCCTTGTACATATTATGTTTTCCCTTTCTTGATCTGAAAACATATGTGATTCCATAGTTATTTATTTTTAATTGGGAGTTGTTTGGTTGAATTTCCTCAATTTTTAATAATAGTGGATTCTTTATTTTGAACTTTTTTAAGATGATTTTATTCATTTTTGAACGGGCAATGATTTCATTTTTAGCGTATACGACCATTACAAATACTTGTGGATGTCGTACCTTTTCTGTAGGATATGCACTTGCATGGATAACGTATTCTTTCGTAACAGATCGGATCATTTTAGAAGGGTCATTTAAAAAAAAAATTATCAGACACAAAGAGAAGTTTGAAAAGCAATCGTTGAAGCCTTAAAAGCAAAGACACAGATCAAAAAATAAATCTTTAGATATTTTTTATGCTTTAAATTTTGAATTTTTAAATTATAAGAGATATTTAAACAATGTAATATTATGTTAGTATTTTTTGTCTAATGAACATATTCTACTAATAATTCGCCTCTATTAATTAATTCTGTAATAGACTAAAATAAAAAGAAAATACATGTAATTAGAATGAATTATTGCATTTCTTTAAAAAATTTCAATTATATTAACAGTATAAAATAACGCTCCAGCCGGGGCTCGAACCCGGAGCCTTCTGATTAGAAGTCAGATGCGCTACCATTACGCCACTAGAGCTTTTAGATTTGGCATTTTGTTTTATGATCTATATTTAAAGTTATGTTATTTATTTTGTATTATCATCAAATAAATTTTTAACGACAAAAAAAACTATTTTAAAATATACATTGCCAAATCTAAAAAATATTTTTTAAAATGTAAGAATAGAAGAGGTGGACAGAAGTTAAAAAAAGCAATGTTCAAAATTATTTCATTTTATAAATATCGAAAATAAACGAAAATTCTTTAAATGTGTTTTGCGATTATTATAATTTTGAATATGATATATCACGAAAATAGTTTCCTTTAAAATATTTTAGTTGTTAATAGTCTGTTTTAAATTTAAATACTAACAATATAAAAGAAAAATTGAATGTTAAAATCTTTTTACCAATTGAAATACCTTTTCTATTCTACTGCTTACTGCATTAACACATTACTTAATAAAATTTTATGGATCAATCAATTTCTTTCATTAAGCATTAGAGATAATTAGATATTTAAAATTGTAATTTTAAATTGCCATTCCTTATTTAAATATTTGTTAGAAACTTTCACCGGAAATATTTTTATTTTTAATAAAATAATCAATACATTAAAATGATTTACTTACGCAGATATAACCCCTATCAAAATATTTTTGCACTTATTTAAATAATGTCAGATGATTTAAATAACCAATTAACTACATCAACAAATGAACTTATTCAAAATATACCAGCAAGTGTACTTCTAAATTACAAGAATTATACAACATTTTTCGATCCAAAATTTTCATTCTCAGATTACAAGACGAAATTATTAAATTCTGTTGAATTCAAAGATTTTGAAAATGAACAAAGCAAGATGTTTACTGAAATTTTAGAAGATCAACATTCTATTTTGCTTTTGAATATGCTTGAAAATTTATATATCGATGGAAAGAGTACAAAGCCTAAAAAACGAAAAAGAATAAGAAAAGGTAAGAAAAAGAGCAAGAAGAGCAAGAAAAAAAATAGCAACTAAGAAAAACCACACCAATACTTTTGTTATGTTTTAAAAAATCGGGTAGTAATTTTTTTTGGTCATGGTGTTCGTTTAAAATTTTTTTTAACAATAATAATGTGTAAATTGGAATTATTAAATATGCTATAAACCATTTTTAATTAAATTAGCGGCCATAATTATAAACTTTGATATAATATTCTATATAAAATAAAATTAAAGCAAAATGTTGAGCTTCCACAAGGTTTTTAATCCAGAAATTCAGCATTTAATCAATATTAATGCTATAAAGCATTATTTGATGTCTAAGATGTTTGGTTGTATATAAAAGAGTATTTAATATATGTAAATTATTTTTAACATTAATATAGTTAAATATTTTAAAATGATTAATACAGTTTTATTAATATTCAAAAAAGATTTTATTTTCTTTAGGGATAGAAAAATTAATAAAATTGCTTATTTATGCTCTGAAAATTTATTCAACAAACATTTTTAGTGTAGATAGACCAATTTTGGATTTTTAAAAGATTATATATTCAAATTTATTGTTTCTTTGCCCATTGAAAATCGTTCATTATAGTTGAAATTTTAAAATAAAATACTAAATTATACTTTTTCCATAATTCATGGTTTAAATAAATTTCATCGTGTAAATTTTTTTAACCTTATAATCGATTTTATAATAATTCGAAACATCAAAAAATTAGTTGAAAACATTTTTTGACATAATCTGTGTTTTTGTCAAAATTTTATGTTTACAGATTAAAGTTACATTTAAAAGTACATATTCTTTTCACCATCAGTAATTTTGTAAAATTTTTAGAAATTCATTATTACTACTAATTTTAAGCGCCATTTAAACATAAAACATGAATTAAAATATTATAGTTTACAAAAATTTTGAATTATTTCTAGAAATTAAGATCACTAAAACCATGGAAATATACAAATACCATTAAGTCAAATGTTGTTAAAACAAATAAAGATAATATACAATAAAAATTATTATTAGAAATATCCAATATAACCTGTTATAGTTGCTATCGTGCTTTAATATTTCAAATTTCATCCATAAGAAAAATCAAATAATCATAGTACAGTATATATAAGAAGTCTATAAACAGTCGTCCTTGATTAAAAAATAAAACAATTAAAGTTAAATAAGATAAATAAACAACAATTGCAACAAATTCATCTGGAATATTTGTAAAACATAAAAAATATTTTTGTTTTGTTAAATTGCTCTTAAAGAAAATTAAAAATGAATAGAAAAAAACAAAAATAACATATAAATCTCATCTAAACGAATACCGGATAAAGATATAATATTTTACAAAAATTTAATTCATCTGATAGGCGTTTTCCTTTTGAAAAGTTTTTATATGAAAAATTGCGAATATAATAGGGTTGTGTTTACAACCTTACTTAAAAAGTTTTAAGATTAACATGAACAAAGAGCAACGGTTTTACCAAACGAAAAAGAAACTTAAGAAGTATGAAAAGCAGATAGACGTAAAAGCTAAAACATGAATAACTAGCACATATTTAAAAAATAAGCACACCTCCAGCTCTTTTTATCATTTTATTTAAATAATTTTGCTTTTAATTTATGATGGGATAAATATTACAAAAGTTTTTTGAGAATTGAAAAAAATTATTATAGTTCTAGATGATTTATCTTAATGAAAATGTATGTGCGTTAAACTATTTCTTTTTTGAAAACATAAATCAAAGTGGCCGTAGGCCAACGGGAAGTCTTTGGAATGGCGTGAGAAAATAACATAAAGACATTTAAAGGAGGTAATATCGCTACGAGCATATTTATTTACCGAATTACAATATTATCTCCAGGTTTTATCCTACTGATGGTTCAGGTACCATCAGAATCTTCTCGCATGTTACCTTTCTGCCTCTTTTGAGTCATTCGTATATCTTTTATCTTAAGGGCTTGTTCAAATAGATGCTTCGGAGATAAAAGATGATGGCAAATCAAGGAAGTAAAATAAAGCGGCTAAAGTGGGTAGTAAAAAAGAAGGTAAACCCGAAGTATGTTTAAAGAACGCATCATTGGCTTCCATAAATCCGTATAAGGATGGCTTTGTGGTAATAGGATTTACCACAAAAGTATAGTCAACATGTTTTAAACTTTTAATAACACCATCGAATTACTTATAGTATTTATATTCTCTTAATATAATATTTTTTATGTCATAGTTTTTAAATTTTCAGATTTTTTTGTAAAAAAAGCTTCTGAAACTGATACTGTTAGTGTTCCTAGGACTAACGTTAATATTTTGGTAAATTTCAAAAAAAATTTTATTTTTAATATTCATTTTTTTTAAAAATAACACTGTTATAATAGTTTTTCGCTCATTGACTTCTTTCAACGAAATACTTTAATTTAAAAAAGTAAATCAGGATTAAAATAACATTAGATCGAATTATGACATGCATTATATATAAATATAAATTCTAGAATTTTAGTTGTTTTAAATATGAAAAAATAACTACGTTTATTACTATGGCTTATCCAGAAGAATTTCTTCTTCTTTCCTGGTCTAGCCTCAACAAATACCACTAGAATAAAATCTACCAAAGCGATTTAAGGTTAAAAACATCAATATTATTGTTTCATTTCGATCGTACCAAATATGAATGAACCGAGTTAGGAGAATCAATATTCTACAATCAAACTATTGAAAATATAATGTGAATTATTAAACCACCTTGTTTATTAAAATATATTTGTATTTAAATAAATTAATATAATAATTAAAATAAGTTTTTTTTTGAAATAGTATATAAAGTATATTTTTATTTTAAATAAAGGAATTTGAGTATACATAAAAAAATAACTTTGTAAATACTAGAATAGAACAATTGCAAAAAGATATTTAACGTTAAAAAAATACTATTGTTGGAAGAAGCTGGTTTAGATATATTATATGAGAAGTTTTTATATTTCATAATTTATTTAGAAAAAAAATTTATTTATAGTTACAATTTTTAAACGTACCAAACATCAAAAATACTACAAAACCAATAAACTTATCAATACCAACCTATAAAATACCATTCGTTCATCCCATATCAAAAATCGTATTTAAACCAATAGTAAAACACATCAAACTAACAAATAAAAAAATATTAACTAAAAATGCATTAGGAAATTTCCCATTAATCACTTAACTTTTTTTTTATTTATAAACAATAATATTTAATAAACCTAACAACAACTATGATGAGGAAGAAATGTGTTATAAATATGGAAATTATAGTAGTAATAGTATTATGGCAGAAGTTGTACTGCTTATGATCAAAATTCATTTAAATAATAAATATTATAATAAACATATCAATAAAAACCATTTAAAAATTTTACATTTTTATTAAATAAATAAATAATGACATTTAGATAAAAGACAGAAATAATTAAGGATTGTATTTGTAAATTAATATTTATTTAAAACATTTATTCAGCAAGGTTTGAACAATCTAATTAGACCAAAAAAATTGCGGAAGCTTAGGAGAAATATATACAGAAAAAGATTCGCTTAATGTTTTTTTTATTATTAAAATTTTTAATCTATGTTTATTGGTTGGATAATCAAGATAGATTAAAATTGAAAAGAAAATTATTATTTTTGTAAGACATGTTTATCTATTAAATTTGTCTATAAATAGACAAATTTGGTTTTTTAAAAAAAATTATATTTTCTACTATTAGTCATTAAACACACTTTCACCAATCATTCAATGTACCTGTCAAAAATAATAAATAAATTTATTATCAAATTTTCATAATCAATAACATTTTAGTATTTACAACATGTCAAAAAAAAATAACATAAATCAGAAAAACACAAAGTGGTAATAAAAAAACAAATAAACCAATTTTGTTAAAATTTCTTCAATAAAATATTCTATTCCATCTTTTTAACCAATAAACAGAAAATCAAATATATGTCACGCATAAAAGTATGCTCTGACTCAGCAGTTTTTATAATTTATATCTGCTTTGATATCTATAG